ATTTAAAACTATTTTTATACATGCTCTCTAACCGATCTAATTTATTTTTTCTTATTGTCTTCCTCTCTCTTCCCTTGCCCTATCCTCCTTTTTGTGTTCATTAGAACTCTGAAACACCTTTTTTAAGTCGGTTAGACTTTTCACAGTGCCTTTTAATTAACATCAGTGTGGATCTTCAATATAAAATAATGTTTTACAAAAAATACAATGTATACAATTAGAATTGCAATAACATGTCAATACAAAAATCTGAACTTCTTCAGCTACTGTTATGTCAGGACATTAACAATTGCAAGACTGACAACAACAAAGAGTTCAAGGATATTTGTTGAAAACGTTTATCGACTATTTAACCAGAAATTGTAAGAGTTAGCTACTTAATTCTTTCACTGGCACGTATAATTGAGTTGATTGACATTCATTATAAGCTACAAAAGGCTAATTAAATGTTTTTTGCTGTGACTGGGGGTTGCAATAGTCTATTTTGTGCATCGTTAATCAAGGTCAGAGATTTAACTAGCTTGGCTACTATAAGCCTTATTCTGTTATTTGTCCCAAGTTTAGAGAAGTTAATTGGCAACATTTGAAAATACTTTATGATAAAAACTGGACAAATGGTAAAGATGATGTGCTGACGTTTCTTTAATCTGAAAAATAATAACAGTAGATAACATCCAATATGTCTTCTGCGGAGAGAGTTTTCAGGCATGTCCACGCCTTCAAGTTAAAGAGGGTGCATTATGTCTTGTCTTGAATATTTGGTTTGCGCACACAAGTTCAGACTAAAAATTTATAAACTATTTAGCCACTGGTATAATAGATGTTCTGTTTATAAATGCATTTTGAACATCAGATTGAGACCAAAGAAGTCGTTTCGGGGGGTCCGGCGTTGGGGAGATCGGCCCCTCTCCCCAGCTCCAACTCCAGTAGGCCGCACTTGGCGTTTCACGCCCCTGGCCCTGACAGGTCCCAGAGAGGTGTCCCCCAATTCAGCAGTGCACTCCAGTTTGGTCTTGGGCTATATAACCACCGATTTCTGTCCGCCAGACTAGAGCTCGCCTCACCGACGTCTGCACAGATAGGTGGTCAGACTCCGCCCCCATACTCACCTTTTTTTAAAAATAAAGTTTCCAAAATTTGAATTCACATTAGATTCCATAGCTCATTACATTTGAGGCAAAATTCTGAATTTTCTGGCGAATTCCATTTTGGCAAATTTCATTCTTGGGAATTCATGCAGGCAAATTCAAACTGGTGAATTCAAACTGGTAAATTCAAACTGGTGAATTCAAACTGATGAATTCAAACTGGTGAATTCATACAGGTGAATTCACACAGGTATTTTTTTTTTTTTTTTTTTACAAATTAATTTGTAAATTTCTTTGCAAAATAAATGAATAAGAATATAAACAATTAAACATCCTTGGCATTTTGCAATGTTCAGTAAATGGAACTTGGTATGAAAGTAGTGGTTAAACTGTCCAGGTCAGACAAATGATCAGGCCATATGAATCAATAGTTTATAGAGGATTTAGAAAAAAAGTAATTTGAGGTCAAGGTTTGTTGCTGAGTTATCTATTCAAGGAGTTCAGAATAAGAGTTGTTATTCAAGCCTGATAATTGCCTTGTATGATCTGTCCAAGGAATAAACGTGGGAGTTGTCAGCCAGGCCAGAAATCTTTTACCACTGGATCCATCTAATGAATTTTAGGAGAGGCAAGTAGAGGGAAGAAGAGCTCTTGTTGGTGTACTTGTAAGGCATTTAACACGTAGGATTGGGGAGGTAAGTTAGAAAACATGATTCAGGAATGACAAAGGGGAACAGAGGCTAGAAAATTAAGCTTAGAGTAGTCAACCAGACTCAATAATTAAGCAATAAAAACTGTATGGAGGAATCTTGAAAGAAGTCTTCAAAATGCTTATCAGACCCATCAGCCTTGGGCAGGTCCTCAGGGATCTCTAAGGTGTTAATTACCATTTAGAATAAGCATATTGACGTTCATGATATCCAGTGACCCAGAGAGCATTTCTACATTGCTCTCACTTGAATGCACTTGTCAATAACCTCAAATTCATCTAGTGGATCAAGGATGTCCAAATCTGATGAATTTAGAGGACTCTTGTCTCTGACTAGATCTCTTTTCAGGTCACTTTCTCACCTCCAAGGCTTCTGAAATACCCTGGACAGCCTCTTTTCTAAACCAGGCTAGAATATCTGGAGACTAAACAGGAATATAGGATGATGGAAGCAGCTACCTATTGAAGACAGTCAATACATAGTTTCTTTCCCTCCACAGCTATCCCTTTTGCAGCCTGAACAGGTATATTTCTCCCTTCTTTTCCTTTGTTGAGATGAAACTGTCCATTCTCATTACGAAAAAGTAATTTAAGAATAGTTTCAGGAAGGAATCTATGAACAATATAAAATTACCAATCAAATGAACCCCTTCTCACCTAGATGTAGAAATTAGTAAATGGTTTCTACGAGGAGAAACCATAATGGGCCAGCTAAAAAAAAGAAGTATATAAATTAAATATTTTCAAAATAAAAGTAGATAAATATATAAAAAATAAAATGTAGGGTTTCCATGTGTGGCAAATGTTATTAGAGTGTATTGGCACTTGTAAGGAGAAACACTATACATTATTAATCTAATTGAATTTGGCACCAAAAAAGCCATAACCAATGTTTTTTTACCTTTACAAAACTTGATGCTGGTTATCAAACTCAAAGTTTGGCATTTGCCCACACCTAAGTAATACTTCTCTATTTCCTATATTGTAATTTCATTGAGCGTGTGACTACTTCTTGGAATAAAACCTACATGGATGTAAGGGTTTGTCAGAGAATTCATGTTAGATTAAAAAAAGCTCCTACTCCTATCTCTGAAGCATCAACTTCCAAATAAAGGGAAGCAAGAGATTGAGATGTCTAGAAGTATGGAAGCAGACGTAAAGGCAACTTTTAACTTCTAAAAAGCTTCCTTCGCTTAAGGAGGCCATATAGAGTAATTGGTCCCTTTTTTGGTGAGACTGGTATTTGGGGCTTTTACAGAAGAAAAGTCCTTAATGATATTCTGTAATCATTAGCAAAGCCCATAAAATGTAGAAGCCAATCTAACACAGTGGAAAGCTTCTTAAAATCCATATGAAACCTAGAGGCAGAACTCAGATAACTTAAAGGGAAACTCCAGTGCCAGGAAAACAATCTGTTTTCCTGGCACTGCAGGTCCCCTCTCCCTCCCACCCCCCAATCCCCGATTGCTGAAGGGGTGAAAACCCCTTCAGTAACTTACCAGAGGCAGCGACAATGTCCCACGTCACTGCTTCTCCCTCCGCCGTCTCTCCTCCTAGTGATTGCGTCGGTTGGTGGGCGCGACTGATCCCGCCCACCGTCTGAGGAGACCTAATGTGCATGTGTGGCAATGCCGCGGATGCGCATTAGCGCTCCCCATAGGAAAGCATTGAAAATGCTTTTCAATGCTTTCCTATTGTGAAATGAGCGACGCTGGAGGTCCTCACACATTCTGTGCTATGATGCAGGAAGTGCCCTCTAGTGGCTGTCTAGTAGACAGCCACTAGAGGTGGAGTTAACCCTGCAAGGTAATTATTGTAGTTTATAAAAAACTGCAATAATTACAGTTGCAGGGTTAAGAGTAGTGGGAGTTGGCACCCAGACCACTCCAATGGGCAATGGTCTGGGTGCTTGGAGTGTCCCTTTAAGAGCTGTTTCTCTGATTGGTCAAAAAGACATGTTTCTAAATTACAATAGAGACCACTCTCAAGGAGTGTTTTAAAAACTTGGGAAATGTGTAGGTGAGACTGTGAGGGAACAATTTATTTGCCTCCTTTTTTTGTCCAACACTGATTTTAGATATAAATATTGAAATGGTACCAATGGTGGGTCAGCCAGCACTTTGATTTAGTGCAATGAAGTTATCTTAGTAATACTTGTTTCGAGAAATTTGGAATGAGATTACTTGACCTAAATCCCAATAAATATTAGGATTGTGTAGTGACTGCCATGGATAACATAAAACAATTTGTGAAGAAGGAGACAAAATGGTCTATCTGTGTGCAATAACGTGTGAGAGTTTTCTGGATGAACCATACATTTATTCCTTGTCTTTTCTTCCCACAATATACACAGAAATCCTGATTCCTATTGTATTGTTTCTACTTAACAGTCTAGTTGCCCCTAACTGCATAAATTCTGCTTCAGAAGATGTAGAGCAGGGGTCCTCAATCTCCAGCTCCCCAGATGTTGCTGAACTACAACTCCCATGATTCTCTGGCTATCTATGTAATTCAAAGAATCATGGGAGTTGTAGTTCAGCAACATCTGGGGGAGCCGGAGTTTGAGGACCCCTGATGGAGATGAATCAGGAGTAGTGATTATTGATGCAATAGTTAAAGCAATAGTTAAAGCAAGACGTCTAGATCTACCCTAGTATTCTGTCTTCTCAAACGATTGTCAATATCATCACTTAATCAATAAGCTCTTCCAAACACTCAGGTGGATCTCTAGCTGCTATATTATCTCAGATATTATCAACACCTTGCATAAAAGCAGACCAAACTATAGACCAAATGTCTATTAGCCTTCCATAAAGGATGGGCCTATTCTAATGCTTTCTCATTCAAATTAATTTAAAAAAAACAACTTTAGACCTGTCTGTGGGGAAGAACTTAAGCAACAACTCAAGGTGAAATGCTATTTGGTTAATAAACCCAAACGAGGTCGGCTAGGTGACATGAGCAGTTCCAAACCCGGAATGATGTTCAGTGAACGTTCAGCATTAAAGGACATGCCATTCGAATGGGAAGCTTCTGAATGTTATGAGGAAGCAGGCCCTGGTCTGGGTCATCCAGTTTTGTAAGGGATCCATTTCGCCAGATTAATAATTTGGTGGGGAAGACCCAACGGTAGGGTATCTTGTGGTTGTGGAGGCATTTTGTTACATTACGATGTCCCTTCTCCGTGACATCGTCATGGAAGACTAATTGGCATACAGAGAGACCCCAGTGTAATCTGGTGGCATTGGCGAGGCTTGTCGCTGTGCTGTCAGTATGGCCTCCTTGACGCTGAAGTAGTGAAGCTTTGTTACAATGTCTCTGGGTATTTCTTGTGCCAGGTTAGGAGGTTTGGGTACTCTGTGCGCCCAGTCCAAGCAGAGATAAGCCAGCTCCAGGGTCAGTGGAATGGCTTTAAAGAGCTGTTGCAGGTACCCTGGGAGGTCTACTCCCGAGACAGATTCAGGGACCCCACGCCCCCGGATGTTGTTTCGGCGTGACCTGTCCTCCAAATCCACCAATTTAATGGTTAGTCGTGTTTGCTCATCTTCTAGTTTGCGGACCTTCTCCAGTAGGCCGTCGTTGGCAAGGCATAGTTCATCTGTTTTCTCTTTGGGCGTTTATGCGATTCCCCACGTCGTGTACCTCTCTTCGGATGTCATTAACCACCATCTGAAAGTCCTCCTTCATAGAAGAGCAAAGCTCCCGGAACATAGCCGTCATTTTCTTCTCAATCCAAAGATATCACAGAGGGGAGGTTGTGTGGTCTCGGTATCCGAGCCGGGGTCTGAGGTTAGTGTTGGTGAGCGGGAACTGCTGTCATCTTGTTCAGGCCACAGTTTGTCCCATCTGCCTTGATCCAATGCGCGTTGGGCTTTTGGGGGTGCCATATAGCAGTGTGATACTTCACCAAGTCTGAGCTGCTGTATGGGGTAATTTTAGTTCCAATTGCCACAGTTTTTCATCGCTTTAGGCCCTTACGGTCACAGAGCTCTCACACCATGCGAACGCTTCGTAGGACCAGAAGTCCCGCCAGATTGTGCTGATTTTATAAGTTTAATATCAATTGTATCCATTGAATATTAATAACTGGTAAATTGGTTGTGTGTGATTGGGGTCTGAGTGGTTTGTGTAAGAGCGGTCAGAGGGATGGGGAGAGGAGAAAGGACAACAGAAAAAGGAGAAGTACCTAGGAAGGAAAACAGATTAATAGTGTGAAAGTGTTGGTCCATAGATGAGAGACACACAAGATGGAGTGTATGTAGTTTCAGTAAAGCATGGAAGCTGGCTGGGAGCATGCACTTACTCAGACAAAGTCAGTGTAGAAAGAATAACAGGGACAATGCACCAGACAAAATGAAAATGGTGGTCCTGGCCTCCACTGTTTGCTCTCACAGTACTGCTGTTATCAATTGAAGACGGCGGCCACCATGAACGGATGGAATTTCCTGAGGACTCCGGAGAAGTTATTGGTGCAACTGAGGAATAGAGCAAGATAGCAATGAGTCCATGGGCTTAATTTATAAACATCACCTGCACTCCTCCTATACCTAAGAACTATTCATGTGACCCTGTTAAGCTATAAAACTGCAGCACTTACCCCAGCATTTTCTTGTTTTTTTCACAGCTTGCTGTGCCTCATTGCATTAATGTCAACTGTCCTACTATCCTATTCCTACCCTATCCCCATGGTTGTTTCTCTTGATTTATTGACTTTGTCTTGTTCATGATTCTGTTATGCCGATTGCTCTGGTAATAAATCCCTGGTGCAACTGTAGACCTATCAGGACCCTATCTCCATTACCGGGTATATCCGGAGGGTCATATTAGTAAGCGTGTGTTGTTCCCTGTACCCCAACCAGACTTGGACGGGCCACCAGAAGTATACACATGAAGACCACCGAATATAGAAAACCCGTGAAGAGCAAAATTGCTATTTTATTCTACCTTTAAGTGCTAGATATTCATCCCATATTTCACATAAGTGTTCTAAAATGTTTAATACAAAATATGCTTGATAGTGAAGGAGTTAATAATCAGACAGAAATGTGATTCCTAAGCTACATTTTTCATAATATTTTATTAATTAATAATAAAAGCCTCTAAAATGCACATATTAAATTAACCATGTGAAATATTTTACTGACCATTGACTTACTTTAACAGACCATTGGCTAACAGGATGCAGTTTGGACTCACATTCATTATTTTTAAATTACAGTTCAGAATATTAATTTGTTTTCAGCAGTCTGAATAGTTGATATTTAAAAATAAAAGTTCAAAGTTTTACCTTTAAACTTCATGTGCCATGTTAATAACCTGGGAAAATTGACATTTAATGCTGATTGTCTCAAAATTAACGAGGTGTAACCAAAACATAAAGCTTCACTGAGCATGACTGAATTTTAGTCACCAAAGCTACAGGGTATAAAACCCACGATTGAGAAGTCTGCCTGATAAGAAACATTATATTAGTCTGTTAGGAAAAGAGCAGGAGTATTAACATTTTACACTTAATTCACTACACTGTAAACAACCTTTTAGTTTTTTTTAAATAGTTTAGATTTTATTTGTTTGCCTAAATTCTGTCTTTACATTTCAAAAAACCTCAGTCAAGGTTTTCTGACATAAGTGTTTTGTTTTTTTTTGTTTCAAGTATTACTTAGTGTCATAGTTACTGTTGATGTTGTACATTAGAAATCAATTGAATGAAAAGTCATGATTTATTTTCATGTGATGCTACAAGTGTATTTCCCTTTTTTAATAACATATATAACATAATTAAAATTTAATTTAATTTTATCACTATGTTACATTTATCACTTTTTGAGAGAACAAAAGAAGGAAAGAAAGATACCTCTAAAAATGTATATTTTACATTATTTTGTGTTTCTGTTCAATTATTATTAAAACAATTAAAATAATTTTTGAAATGTAACAGCTAAAATCTTAATTAATGCACATTAACACAATATCTACTAGAAAAAAGAAAACAGTCAAGTGAAGAAACAGTACCTATTGCTTGTTTATATCTGATGAGATAACCTTATCTCTTATAACTGAATAATAGTTGTTCCCATTTACCTCTATATGAAAAAACTATGACGTTACAAGTCAAAAAGGTTATCTTATCTAAATCAGAGGTGGAACTACCGGCGGTGCAGCTGGTGACGCTGCACCGGGGGCCCACATGCTCAGGGGGCACCATCAGAGTTTCTCCCACTTTGTGCATCTCCACTCTCCATGGGTGAAAGTGAAAAAAGAATTTTCCGGGGCCTGGTCATCTGCTGCAGCCCTTTAACAACATAAGAGTTCCAGGTTGACAAATGTTAATTTTGTGCATATTTTGCATCTGTCATCAGCCTGCTGGTGACAGAAAGACAATCAAGATATGGCTTCCTCTTCCATGCTGACCAAGTCATTCTTTCAGCCTGTCCTCCAAGACATCCGTCATCCTCCAGTGTGTAAGGCTTACTACAAACAAAAACAGTGTTTAAGTGTAAAAAAAAAAAAAAACTACAGCACATTATTTAATGGAAACACAAATATTGGACAGAAAACATTTTACTTATTTTTTTTTTTTTAACCTAATAAAAAACTTACAGGGTTATATATATTACACAATCTGGGATGGAGTTTATAATTATTTGTGAAGGTATTGATATGAAATGGGATGTGGGTGAGTTGTGAAATGAGAAAGACTCAATTTAAGTATCTTCGAGCTTATAATAACAATTGAGACTTTGAAAGTCAGATGGTATTCAACACAATGAATCAATAAATAAGCAACATACATTGCTGTACCATTTTGTTAAGATTAAACAGGTATAATATTGATCATTCATTTTCTTCTCCATTTTTTTAAATTAGATACATTTTGTAGCAGCTTTGGGTTTAGTGACTGCTAAAAAATAAAACCATATCCTAAAATACCATCTTTTTTTTTAAATTACATTTTGAAACAATGATTCACTCCTTGTTTAACATGACCTGAAACTGGGATTGTAAAACATATAAATATAACATATTCCCAGATTATATTCATATTCAAGATACATTATTGTAAGCACTTTAAACTTAAATATCTTACACCACACATCTGCTGCTACAACTATATACTATACTAGTATAAACAAAACTATGAGGAAAAAATATTATTATTTTTTTGAAGATTTTATATGGTTTTGATTTTTTTTTCATACTATATGGTGAGTTCAGTATACATACAGTATCGAAAGAAAGCTTTACCTGTCCTCTAAAAAAAAATACAGATGCTTAAACTTTTACTTACCTCCAGTGAGCACAAATTGAAAACTTAAAGGGTTAAATCATCTATTAAGGCTTCTTATCTATGTTAAACTGCTTTTACTTTTCTTATTGGTATTTAGAATTAACTATATTTGTTGTTGTTATGTGGTCCCCTGTTTACTGGTGTCAGTATATTCTTGAAAACCAGTGCAAAAATAAATGTAACCTTTTCTGTTGATTCTCTATATTGAACCCTCATGGTGGAAAAAATGAGAAAGTATGATACATAATAATCAACCTGACCATGATTGATATTAATATGTGCATTTCTATAAATTCAAGAATGTATTTTCTCTTATTTGACATCTGTATCTTGTGCTCAGTGCATAAATATAGCTCGTTGCATATAATTTTATTTTTATATAGTTTCATCTGAGCTTTATATTTTTGTTATTTTATGTTGATACATTACTAAATCCCCTGTACTGGAACCTTATTAAAATTATTTATTTTTGGCTGCGTGCTGAATGATAATTTATTTTTTATAAATCTCTCTGGCACAATTAACAGATAAATAATGAATCATAAATTGTATATGTATTAATATTTTTTCACAACAATTTAATAACATTTTATATCAAAAGTATTTGTGGTTAGTAGAAGGATATTTGTTAACCCTAAATTCTGCGAGTAATTGGAAATTATTAAATTTTTCATACAGTGGATAAATAAATTAGTCATCTAGAAAAGACTTGAATGTGTAAAATGCTATTATAGTTATCACTCTCACACTGCACAGTCTATCTTACATTCATTAATTAAATTCAGAGAGTGGAGCTAACGCATACCCAATGTCACTTTAATTGATTTCTCTAATTTCTCATATACTAAAAGTTATATCGCTATGGAAATGGAATGCAAAGTATATAAGCAGCATAATTCAATTTCAGCATAGTCATTTGTAAAAGTTATAGAGTCCTCAGGATAGCGAGAAATTACATGTATATTGAATTATTGAAAAAATTCTGTCAAACTCCTATATTGGTAACAGTGTTTGAAAAAGTGATTTATTTGATATTGAATATTATGTAAATTCTAAGAGAAAATAAGTTTTATATAACTAGTGTACTATAACTAGTTAAAAAAACATAAGTCAACTGGAATGTTAACATCTATATTTTTACATTTTCCAACGAATAGAAAAAGCTAAAATCTAATGTGAGAAAGTAAAAGCAAAAGTGACTTATGTCATTTTAGTGTCTGATAAATCTTGTCTGATATTTGTCTGATAAAAGAAAAGGAAAACAATAGCACATGGTCATTGTGACAAACTGCCTAAAATCATCTTTTGTTTTCCCCACC